TAAACTGCGTTTGGATCCAGCCTCCTATCTGCCTTCACCGCATCGCGTTACAGTTACATGCACTTTATAGGTGTTAATAAAGCACCTGTTTGTTTACAGTTGTGGTTTGTATTCAACACATGTACAATATTGTACAGTTTGTTCTGCTAAATAAACCATGACAGAAAACATGCTGGGGTCAATTTGTTCTTAAACATTGGTAATACTGCACACATTATTCAAAAATATACTCAGGTACTTAATTACTTGTGTATTTACTTAGTATTGAATCGATATCGAAGCTAATAAATCAATATCGTATCGAAATCGAATCGAATTGTGGAATTCCTAACAATACCCAGCCCTACTTGTTATGCTGCTTGATATTGTAAACTGGTGTTTCTTATATTATGTATTGTCATAATTTTAAACAGTGGTTTGTTGCGCAAATAGTTTTACCGTTTATTGCACTTTGTTATTCTTCTAGTCAATTCACAGAAAATAGCTTACTTCCGCATTGAAAAATAAGGTGGATAGGGGTACATGTCTTTAATAGCAGTCAACAGTGAAGAATTAAAACAAACTGAAGCTTTGTTAATGTTTCTCAGTTGTTAACAATGAAGAATCAAGAATGGACACCAACCTATTTGTTCCTCAGTATCTTCACGTTTTATTCTGGATGGTTCAGGATCACTCACTCCATCTTTACTCTAGTACGGCACACAGATACACCTGGAGTGTCTCCTGCGTGTTCAGATGCACTTCTAGCCTTGATGATGAGAATATTCCCAGCATTTATTGCTGAATTATTTTGAAAGGGCTGTGATCACTCTGAAACAAGAGAAGAAACATAAATTACTGATTTAAAAAAACAATCCCACAAAAATTATGATCTTTCTTCATTATAACTCATTCTGAGATTCCTCAGATATCAACCACAATTTGAAGAAACTGTAACCAAGTAATGTAAAAAACAACAACAAAAATGTCAGCATAATATATAAATTAATGTATAAATAACAACCGATCTTCATGTTTGTCTACAACAAATTTAACTGACTGATGAATAAAATGCTCTTATGCTCTAAGAACAATATAATGAAAATGAATAAAACTAAAATAAAGCAGTTCTTTATTTAATCTACAGTCGAATAAATATTTAAAAATAACAGTGTATTATTCCTAACGAAAAATAGCATGGAATAACAGGAAACATGTTAAAATTAGGGTTAAATATATTTAAATATATGTTATTTTATAATCTACTTAATTAGAAAAGCAGAACATAAATTGATGACCAAAGTGATTAATAAGGTAAATCCTTCATGTATTGAAAATAAACTTTGCTCAGACAAATTACACGATATTCTCGGCACTGTAGTGCAATAAAAATGTAGTCATGTGCTTGTAATAATTACTCATTATTATAATTATACCTAAACACTAAATATTAAACGGACATATTCGCATTTGTTTACAAAAGATCCTCACGCTGTTCACTGCCATGTTGCTGCCGCAAACGTGTTCAGAACTGTAGTAAACATCTACCGTACGGCGCATGCGAGTGTCGCATTGAGCAGCAAACACTCCGATTCTTCCTCCAGGAGGCGCTGAATGACTCCGAAAACCGAAACCTTAAAGGGTTAGTTCACCCAAAAATGAAAATTAAGTCATTAATTACTCACCCCCATGCTGTACCAACCCCGTAAGACCTTCGTTCATCTTCGGAACACAAATAAAGATATTTTTGATTAAATCTGAGAGCTGGATCACTGCTACATAGGGTTCTAAGGGACTGACACTTGACGGCCCAGAAAGTCATTAAAGAAAATGTTTAAATGTTTCATGTGCCTACAGTGGCTCCACTATAAGTTTATCAAGCGACGAGAATACTTTTTGTGCGGAAAAAAAAACTAAAATAACGACTTTATTCGACTATTCCATTGCTTCCTTGTGGGCCTGAGACGAGAGTTCAAGAGATTTCCAGGACGCATGCGCGAGAAGTGACACTCTTCTTCTACTACTATGTACAGCACGCGCCTTCCTCTGCTTGTAAGACGCGCGCTGTGTAGTAGAAGAAGAAGGCCAGTTCTCGCGCATGCGTCCTGGAAATCTCTTGAACTCTCGTCTCAGGCCCACAAGGAAGCAATGGAATAGTCGAATAAAGTCGTTATTTTAGTTTTTTTTTCCGCACAAAAAGTATTCTCGTCGCTTGATAAACTTATAGTGGAGCCACTGTAAACTTTGGCTCTTAACTTTTGAGGACAATTAACGTAATCAATAATACAGAACTTACAACTAGCTCTTAACTATCTCTATGTCTTCTTTTTCGTCTCTCTCTTTTGTGTTTTCTCTTTTAGTCCCGCCCCCTCAAAAACCCTATAGGTTCCCAAACTGCTCTCTGATTGGATAATAAACAAAACTGACACCTGGCCACCCAATACAAAAGAAAATGACCAGGGAGGTTCAAGGGCTACTCACAACAGAGGATATTTCAACACCTCACAATTTATTAACACATATTAATACAAAGACAAAAAAGAAAAGGTGTTACCAGGGACAATTGAACTGGCCCATATTTCAGGATACAGCTACTATATTTCTGTTAGCAGAACACAAAAGAAACAATATATAAATTTAGCAGGGTGCTACATCAATAATATTCTTCTTCTCCAACTTATAAAACACAAATCTTGTGGCATTTCACAACACTAGTTTATTAGGTAACTAACTACAAATTTACTTTATGCAGGGGTGGTAAAGGTACTCAAAAGTTATACTCGAGTAAAAGTATATATACCTAAATAAAAAATAAACAGTAAAAGTAGAAAGTCCTCCATTCAAACATCACTTAAGTAAAAGTACACAAGTATCCGATTTAAAACGTACTTAAGTACCGAAAGTAAAAAAGTAAATATTTAAATTAACTGTAAATATCAATAATTAAGCAGATCAATTGTTTTGGGAGTGATATGCAATGTTTTATTTGAACAAATGATAAGATTAGATACTGCAATTAAGAATTTGTTAGCTAGCTGTTTACACGGCACGTTTCAATATGAAATCACTTGGCTAACAATAGTAACATTAAAGCAACACTAAAGAACTTTTACTCTGTGGTCGCCCTACAGGTTAGAAGCGGCATTGTCCGTTACCGCTGTCGTAAATAATTTAGCCTACCACAGTAGCCTACTGTCGCACGGCTTTAGAGTGAATGATGTCCAATTGTAACGCTTGCCGTAAAGCAAGTCAAATTTGTAGTTTTCTTATGTCTAATTCGAACTACAGAAACGCGACCCGATTTGGCAAACTTATATAGTGTGGTTCTAGCAGATATAGGACCACAAAGCGAAGGCAGAAGTGCCTTTCAGCCTGTTACGACTTGATGAACCGCTGAAACGATTTTGGAAACATTATTTTAAGGTAAAAAATCTTCTTTAGTGTTGCTTTAATGTCAACTCACCTCAATATGTTTTCTCAGATTTGAGGGTGAAGTTTTGAATGGTGAAATTGAATTCACCCGTGGCAGGCAAAGAAGACATTTCAGCCGATATTAATCTCCTTTGACTTCAGTGAATTCGAACATATCATTGATATATGGCCATGGGTGATCCCTGTCGGAAATCTTGGGATCATTGCTGGCAGCGAGAGCTGCACCTTCACCGGTTTCTGCGGTCAATGGCGAACTGACTACTATGTGAGCTTATGCTGGCAAAGAGCTTGCGCATTTTTTTTTTTTCAAAAGAAAAACAAGTTTTTCATTGGTTTGGAAAGCCAGTGTAATAAATACTTGGAGCGGGCATGGGGAAATGTATCGGAGTAAAAAGTAAACTTTGTCTTTAAAATTGTAGTGGAGTAAAAGTGAAAGTAGATGCAAATAAAACATACTCAAGTAAAGTACAGGTCCCCGAAAAAAATACTTAAGTAAAGTAACAAATTATTTTTACTTCATTACTTGCCACCACTGACTTTATGTGAATCTAACAAATCATTTGCTCACTGTGACACAGAACAATGCTTTCTAATATGAGTCAATAGACTACTTGAGTGGGTGAAACTCTTCTCACACTGAGTACAGTCGTACGGCTTCTCTCCAGTGTGAAGTCGCCCGTGTGATTTCAGGGATCCAGCCTGAGTGAAACTCTTGTCACAATATGAGCACTTGTAAGGTTTTTCTCCAGTATGAATTCTTTGATGCAGTTTCAGATTCACAGATGTAGTAAAGCTCTTCCCACAGTCAAAGCACATATAATCTCTCACTTCATTATGTGTTTTCTGGTGCAGTTTAAAACTGGCCAGCCATGAAAAACTCTTTCCACAGAGAGAACACACATAAGGCTTCTCATCTGAATGAACTTTCAGGTGTGATTTTAGATTTGATGATGAAATAAAATCTTTACCACACTGATCACAGTTAAATGGTTTTTCTCCAGAGTGAATGAGCAGATGAACACTGAGAGCTGACGCTTGAGTAAAACTCTTTCCACACTGAGTGCATGTATACGGTTTCTCTCCAGTGTGAATCATCATGTGTTTGTTAAGGGCTCCTTTCAGTGAGAAACTCTTTCCACACTGAGTGCATGTGTACGGTTTCTCTCCAGTGTGAATTCTCATGTGTTTGTTAAGGTTTCCTTTCTGTGTGAAACTCTTTCCACACTGAGTGCAGGTGTGTGTCTTTTGGGCTTTTGTTCTTTGAATTGTAAAGTTATGATGTTCCTCCTCCACTTCATTCAGTTCTTGTCTTTGCTCTTTCACTCTCACCTGGTCTAAAATACACAGAAATACAGTAAGAATCAGTTCAAGTGAACCCTTATTTACTAGCAGAGAGCAACAGAGATCAGATCTTTCACTTTTTGTTCTGTCATTCATTGTTAATATAGTACAAATATTTTTGACAACTGCTATATACAAGGTTATGATCATTTGGATGTACATCATTTATCATCCATATATAGCTACTGTTTATTAGTTCACATCTCTATCAAAGCATCAACAATGAAGAATCAAGAATGGACACCAACCTGTTTGTTCCTCAGTATCTTCATGTTTTATTCTGGATGGTTCTGGATCACTCATGTCTTCAATCTCCTCTTTAATAAACTCCATCTTGAACAGTCACACAGATTTCAGCTGCTACTCCTGGAGTTTGTCCTTCTCTTGTAGGATGATGGGAATATTCCCAGTATTTATTGGTGAATTGTTGTGGGAGGGGCTTCACTGCAGGTGTGAACTGTGATCACTGTGTTTTTATCCAATCTGCATTTAAAAAGTACAGGGCCATCATGTTTAACTGAGCAGAAAAACCTCTTTGTCTCCAAAAGTTCCCTGTTTTCAGCTCATTCATTATGGTGATCTCTGAGATCTTCAGTAAATTGGCACATTAAATTGTTTTATTGGTGTCAACAGGCTGAAACAAACTACAGCATCATCACCTTTAACTTCAGTTCTTGTCATTGCTCTTTCACTTCCATCGAGCCTGAAACATTAAAACATATTAAGTTGTTAGAATGAGTTCTGGAGGATAAATGTGAATTTTAAATTTTCAATATCAACCAAAATTTGAAGAAACTGTAACCAAGTAATGTAAAAAAAAAATAAAATAAAAAAATCAGCACAATATAGAAATGAATGTTTAAATAACAACCGATCTTTTTGTCTTTGTCTGTTTGTCTACAACAAATTTAACTGATGAATAAAATGATCTTATGCTCTGGGAACAATATAAAGAAAATGAATAAAACTAAAAACTGAAATAATGCAGTTCTGACAGCATCTTTATTGAATCTACAGTCGAAGAAATATGTAAGGGATAATGTATAGCGAGGCGGTTGTTATAGCGAATGCCACCCCGACAGAGTATGAGCCCGACGCGAAGCGGATGGGTCTTGAATCAGCCTGAAGGGTTTGTGTTCGCTATAACAACCGCCTCGCTATACATTATCCCGCTTATTACATGGCTACCTACCAAATAAATCAATAATTTAACAAAATATTTAACAAACACAAAATATTGATTTAAAAAGGAGTTTATCGATTTAAAACGATTGCATTGCTTCCACTAAAGAAAATAGTCCGTTCCGTCTCTGAATTGCGTCCAAGGCAACGCTCTGTTTTTCAGCAACAGTGTGTCTGATATCATAAATAACAGACCGCATTCTACATTGGAATTCTACCAAGCCATGTAATAATTAAAAATAACATAGTGTATTATTCCTAACGAAAAATAGCATGTATAGAAAAGCAGAACATAAATTGTTGACCAAAGTGATTAATAAGGTAAATCCTTCATGTATGTATCGAAAATAAACTTTGCTCAGACAAATTACACGATATTCTCGGCACTGTACTGCAATAAAAATGTAGTCATGTGCTTGTAATAATAATTACATATTATTATAATTATACCTAAACACAAAATATTAAACGGACAACAATGAATTTTCGCATTTGTTTACAAAAGATACTCACGCTGTCCACTGCCATGTTGCTGCCGCAAACATGTTCAAAACTGTAGTAAACATCTACCGTACGGCACATGCGAGTGTCGCATTGAGCAGCAAACACTAGGGATGGCTGACGCGAAACAGTTGTTCCGAAGCTTTGCGAGATCCCGAAGCGCAGATGATTCGAAACACTGATCCGAAGCGTGATTCAAAACACCCACGTCACGTGACTACGGCTAAATGAAGCTTCTGAGTGTTTCATCAGGTGGAGTGCTCCGCCGAGTCAGGGTTTGATTGACAGGTCGGTCGGGAAAGATCACACTATCACACACAGTATAAAAGTGAAGTCAACGCATTTTCACATCGTGGGTTTTTGTGAAAGGAGTTTGGTTTTTTAGGTAGCGAATTTTTGGTGATATAGTGACATTTATAGTGCGATTTGTTTAGTTATATTTAGGCTTCCATTTAAATTTACACATTGACTGAGAGACAGAGTACATATAGTGACACATTAATAGATGCATAGATAGAAATATATATATATAGACAGATAGATTATTAGATATATACATAGATTAATAGATAGATGCATAATAGATTTTCATTTTCATTCAGAGCCACAAATGTCAACACCAGGCCCATCATCATCAACACCAGTAGAAACACAGGACAGTTTATGGGAACATTTTGATAATCACATCCGTGAAACCCAGATGATACACAATGCTACAGCTGATGCCACAGTGGAAGTGAAAAAATACCTCAACGATGCGTTTTTGCCCAGAACTCATGATCCCCTAACTTACTGGAAAGAGAGAGCTGTAATCTTTCCTCATTTGTATGTCCTTGCTAAAAAAAATATCTTTGCATGCCAACAACAAGTGTCCCTTGTGAGAGGATTTTTTCAAAGGCTGGAGAAATTATCTGTAAAAAAAGAAGTAGGCTGAGTCCTTCGACAGCAGAGAGATTGATTTTTTTTAATAAAAATCTATAAGAAAGTGAGACATTGTGGCTTGATTTCTTTTATTCATTTTTCATGACCAAAATAACATTATGCAATGTGAAGAGACTACAGGTTACAAGCTTCACATATTAGAAACATACAATAAAAATACAATAAAAAAAAATAAAAAATAAAGTTTTTTATTGGCTCGTTGTATTAAAAAATCAAAGTTGTTTCAGATCAACACCTGCAAGTGACCACTAGGTGTCACCGTGGAGACGGGTGTCGGATTGATTCGAAGCCTCGAAACAATATGGCACGTTTGCTTCAACTGTTTCATTGCTTCACGAAGCCTCGATCTGCCCATCACTAGCAAACACTCCGGGTGCTTCTCAATATCCCTCCTCGTCTCCTCGCTCCTCCGTCCTCCATCCTATGACCCGGAAACCAATCGAGCTCAGCCATCTTGAAGGACATCTCACTTCTCTAATTGCACCGCGAGGAGCCGAGGATCGAGGAGTGAGGAGGCTTCCAGAGGAGTTATGAGCGAGGATACACAGGTGTACCCTTTGCGGAAGTGTTTTATCGACTAAACATGACGCACGTATCAATTCTCATCCCCCTTCACATCTGTCACAATCATTTGAATTTATACTTTACTTTTGTAGTTTACATAAACCACACAACTCACATATTTCAACAAGGTATCTTGCTTTATTATTATTTCTAATGAATTTCTTAAATAAACAAACTTTAACAACATAAGGGCAGATCCTTTGATCACTGCTGATGACGCAGTGAAGTGACGCTCGAGTGATCAAGCATTCCAATGTATAAAATAGCTTTCATTCAATTCCTCCGTCCTCGAATTTTTTCCTTGCAGCCTTTCCTCGCATCCTACAGGGGGTGGAGCTGAGACGCGAGGAAAGGAAACGAGGATGCACAAATAAGAAATGAGAAGCACCCTCCGATTCTTCCTCCAGGAGGCGCTGAATGACTCCGAAAACCGAAACCTTAAAGACCAAAATACCCTTTTGTAGTTCAGTCTACAAACAAAGTATTATATTTTAAATATAGTAAGGCCAAATAACAAACAAAAAATCCACAAGATAAATCTCCAGTGATGCGTTAAAGCACACAGTAAGAAAATAAACACAGTTTGAACCGTGTGATCAAACTATTTATGGAGATAGTTTCCTCTAAATCAGAAAAATCAAACCATTCTCTTTTTTGGCATTCCACAGCAAGTAAAGGGACAAAAGCAACATTTGACTCTCAGAGAATACAAAATGTATTTATTAGAAAAGGGACCATGTAGGCTACAATTATTAACATAGGCCAACATGTTTCCATTTAATGCATTTATTTGAAAATGATATTCTTTGATATGATATAATATATGATAAAAAAAAAACCCTCAGTAGTCAGTAATTATGAAGAATCAAGAATGGACACCAACCTGTTTGTTCTTCAGTATTTTGTTTCATTTAGCATGTTTTTGGATAACTGACGTCCTCCTTCTCCACTTTAACAAACTCCATAGTATGTGCCAGTAACATTTATTTACCATATGTTGTGTGGGTGCTTAGACTGATCACAAGGTACTAAAATATCTTAATAAATACTGCTTTTATTTATCAAATTCTTTAAAAACCGGGTTTAAATATCCACCCTCCTCAGGAAAAGCATGAAGTAACAACTTCTTTAAAGAAAGAAAACCAAAACAACTCAAAATCCCCTTCGTAACATAACTGTGTTTAGTGTTTTTAAATCGCAGTTGAAAACGTTTCTTTTCAAGAAGGCTTTCAACACGTAACCACTTGTTTTGTTCTTAGTCGTTGTGCTAGCTATTTTGTTTAAATTAGTTTTAACTTGCAATTTTTATATACTGCTGTCTTTTTTATGTGTTTTATGGAAAGCGCTTTGTGCACCTTTCTGGTTGTTGTAATGGCGCTATATAAATAAAAATTGAATTGAATTGAATTGAATTAAAAATAAATCAACTCTAAATAACCAAATCATTCAACAAAATAGGACAAATTAAATCAAAACCGAGGCAATCTGTTAAAAACACACAAAAATAAATCAATTAACATACATCACATAATCATAATAATACAGAAATAATGTACACATTGAAATAAACAAACACTTCATACTTTTAAACCCCTAATTTTACGCTCAGGCCACTCTGGTTACCGGGGTTCTCGGGAGCGCTTGACATCTACAAACACATACACTTAAAATACCTGCACACTTTATCACACGAAACCCCCCCCCACTATACTATCCTACTCACCCAATTCTTTCTCAGCGCCGTTTGTGTGGCGTCTTCTCCGCATGAGTTTGGTGCATCACTTAAATTATGGTGCGTTCCATTATTTATCCGTGTCGGAGTTCTGACTAGGAAGACAGACGTTGCCTAGCAACACGCACTAACACACCCCCTTTCCTCGGATTTTCCCGCTCGGATTTCGGACAAACGTGAGGACACCGAGCAAGAATTCCAATACGGAATCCAAGATGGCTGCGCCCTGTGTGACTTAGTATGAATTGTTTTCATTGTTTTTGGACCGCTTTGGTTGTTTAAATGAAGATTTTAATCACTCGTATTACAGCGTCCGTATCACTGCCTGTGGGTATGGGAATCGGTCTTGTTGTGAGTGCAATATTGAATGAAGCCTTGTTTCAAACGGGTGTTACTAACGTGGGTAGCGTTGCTAACAGAAGATAAACTAAAACATGAAATAAAGTGAAAATTTTAGAAGTTCAAATGGCTGAGTTTTGATAAGCACCTGGTACTCGGCCAGTGCTAACATAGCAACAGCTTTTAGGGTGACGTCCATGTTTTTTCTACGACTCGGACGCTCACAACATACCAGAACGCT